TATTTAATGAGTCTTGTACTCCTTATCTAAATTAAAGCGACATATATGCTAATTGTGAAGGGTACAGGAATGTGGACCCTAATTTTCAAAATTAATGTTAATATGCACTTCAAAAATCCAATCCTCCAGTAACACACCCACACGCTAATGTGATCAGACCCTCTCGGATTGTTAATTAATTCCAATATGTTGCTGTATAACAACCGGTATGCCCATAGATAGTGGTCTACAAGTGTGCAGATCCTTATCATGTTGATACCTTCCTGTGTGTATTTCAACAACACAGAGTGCGTAGAGAGGAAGGACCTAAAAAAGTGGGACCTGCCTATTAAAACTGCAGCTAGTGCTGACTAAACTCTTTTGTACCACAGTGACAATGCTAATAGTGAATGTTGGTAGTAGTAACCAGTCAGGAGTCTCCCATTGTCAGTTTCCTTACCATTGTAATCACAAAGGTTTTTTTTTAGGTACTCATTGAATTATACACTGTACTGTGTTAAAAAAGAACTCTGGGCAAATGTTATTAACTCTTGAAGTAGGGCTACCCCCACACTGTATAGATTAACTGCTCCTTTTTGCCTAGGGTAAAGAAAACAAAAACTCACTTTATCATCGGAGCCAGCCAGCTCTTAGACCAGTCCCTAGAGCCTCTCTCCCCTCCTCTGCAGTGGTCTAGGGATCATCACGTCAAGTACAGTGTATAGGGACATACCATACCATCCCTAGACCAAAACGAGAACTTAACCCTCTTAGTGCGGGGGCACCTCCACTGCAATGGTCATTTGAATGTATCTTGGAGTTCTTCTTTAAGGTTCTTCTCTCAGCAGCTCAGCCACCCAGCTTCACCCTTCCAGAGCATCTGTGGTGTGTTCACATTAGAAATCAGAAGCCAGCTAAGTCACTGGTTGGAGGCGGGAGCAGGGTGAGCTCAGCTGAGCAGAGAACACCTTGAATAACTTCAGTGGTTCTGCTGTACAATTTTAGGATTAATTGATCCACTGTGCCCACAGCTGCAGCAGTCAGTGAAGGCTAGTTTTAAAGTATATTAACTGCTTGTTGAGAGTATGTAAATACTCGAATATCCGTATCCTGGCCAGAGGTTCACTTTGCAGTGGAGGAGGAGAAAGGCTGGAGGGAGCGCAGCAGGCTCTGAGGATTGGATGAGTATAATGTTTTGGGACCCCAGGCAAAAATGAGCAGTTAAGGTAGCCCCACTGCAAAGTTTGAGTTCTTCTTTAAGCTCACCACACATTACAATCTGATTGCACAATCTCCTTTACATCTACCAACAAATATGTAATGCAAGGCGCATGTCTGGTTGGATGCAAATTGATTAGATAAATTAGGTAGGTAAATTAGGCAGGTCCTCGTATTACAGATTGTAATGTGTATAATACCCTTAGACCCGCTGAGCTTAGATCACTGGAACAGACTGACAAACTGCAGCTGTTTTATTATTACTTGTCATATGTTTTGATATCCTGCCTTTAGATTCTCACAATAGCTATGACCGAAGCACATAGGTAGCCCTACAAAGCCAAGTTTTGTTTTAAACTGTACTTGTACTGTTTAGGAGGTATCAGTTAACTTTGCTACACATGTATTGTAAACATTTTTAAACCAAATGAAGGAAAACGTAAAAGGAAAGAAAAAACAAAAACAGTGGATTAAATACTTGATGGTAATAGGTAATATTTCTGAAACTTCACTTCTTGGTTAACTCAGATGACAAGAATTAATTGGTGAACTGCCGCTGGCTTTTTCATTATTCTCTCATTACTATTTACTAGATATAATTTGCCATCTTCAGATTTTCACACTGTCTATTACCAATTTACTGCTGGAGCCCTACAGAGCATTATGATGATCTTTGTGTTACACTTTGTAGTATAACATATTTGATAACATGTTGTAGAATATATTATATTGATAACATATTTGTTATTTGATAACATATTGTAAATCTCAGATTTAATTTTACTATATTCAAATCTAATTGGTTGCTTGCTTCACTGTACTTTGCACATGATCTGTGCACTAACAAATTAAATAGCTGTGAGCTTTTTCACAGCAAATATTGGTGTGCTTTATTGGCACAGTAATCGCAAGGCAGCAGGAGAGAATTGACACAAGTATATTTTATTTGGCATTCTTTTAAGTAATAATTTATAGCAATATAATGCATGGAATGTTGTTTGTCATATTGTACTTTTCTTTGGTCTCTACATGGATGTAATATGTAAATAAAGGTCTCCTAATGATAGAGTGCAACCTACTTCAATTAGTTGAATACCATTTACATTTATTCTGCCAGCCTGGCACATTGTGGACATCTGAGCACATAATGCTGCCAGCTGTAATTGAATTTTATTGAGTCCCAAAGTCTAATCCACACAAGCACAAAGTACAGGGAAGTTTTTCCTTCAGTGTTAACAAACATTAACATTTCAGTCCCTATTCACTGTTCAGCTTCCTCTGGCTATATCATCCTCCCCAAGGCACCAGAAATTGCATCCCATCAACAGCCTTTGGTAAAATAAATTCCAACTCCCATATGTACAGACATTTAGGATGTATTGATATTTTCCAGGCAGAACAAAGCAAATAATCTATTATACAAACACTACATCTTTTTTCCTATGGTGACCATGTGGGGAAAATAAAAACATTGATGGCTTGCTTGTTTACTTTACTAATAAACTTTAAATACACTTTTTACATGCCAAATATGAATTTTCTTATCTTGGAACTTAGCATCCCTATGAGTAAAATCAGAATCCTTGCTTTACATTCTTCTACGTTGATGTATTTTCTATTCCCAGGCAAATCATCAGCAATTTAATTTAAGATGTACTCACTGTGTTATTACATACTTCTCTTTCAGAGTTATGAATTTATTGATTCTTCTAGTAAGGCATGACTCTTTTGAAATTTGAAATTGATCAGTTTTATCACAAGTTGAATTGTTTATAGAGCACTGAGAAATTGGAAAACACATTTTATTATGTGCTGGGTAACTCTACCAAAAACCCAGTGAACCCAGCAATAGCAAATGTTTGTTTTGCAGATTATACAATTGTATCACAATTTTTTTTAGCAACTTAAGATTGCTTATTCATAGAACAGTTATTAAAAAGTATCCTACTGAAAAGTGCTCTGACCATAGACAAAGTGCAATAATTCATACCAAGAAGTTTGACTTCAGTAAAATTATCTTATTGGTTAACTTGGGTTACTGTACTTTGCATAGAATCATTGACCTTTCCACTACCATATAACAAGGAAGCATAGAATGCTGTTTAAAAACAGACTTCATACTTAAATAGCATGGCCCACCTATTTAGCGAAGGCCCCCCTGCTTGGAGTGCAAGGTCCACTTTAAAAAAAGTCCAATTGCTTACTAGTGCATCACAGATTTGAATCATTTAATTTCCTCTTCTTTCTAGCCCCACCAACTCATCTATCATCACTTTCGGTTGCCTGTACTACTCATAGATGCAGAGCTCATATCCTGTTATTTCTTTACTAAAAGACCTACTCCCACAGGCATGGAGCATGGTGTATTTTGCATACCCTTTTATGAAATTTTTGATATATATATTTATACACTGAGTGGCCAGATTATTATGACCACCCCATCAGTACTTCGTTGGGCCATGAGATGACTCCACAAGATGACTCCACAAGATGACTCCACAAGATGACTTTGTTGGGCCGCCTCGTGACTCCACGAGAGGTTTGAAATGTGATGTGAGGAATCTGACACTGCACTGTTGCCCTTCTGTTGTCTTATATATGATCAAATAAGTCATATAAGTAGAACGGATACACTAATGCTCACGGAAAGGATTCCGCATTCTATACAGGATTCTTAATTTCATAACAAATTAAAACATTGGCTATTTTTTAGATATTGGCTACTTTCCACTCCTAAGCGAAATGACCCAATTGAAAAACAACAGGACATACTGTATATCATTCCTCACTTATGCTTTATGTGTTGAATTCTCTAGTTATATCCGTCATCCAGTAAAAGATTTTTAGTCCACTATGCCTCTGTCAATTTGATACACAGTAATAAATATGTTATTGTCTATAAACCATTTGGTAGTACAAACATTCATGTGTACTAAAATCTTGTTAAACTATTAAAAGTTGCACCAACAATAAAAAAAAAACAAAATAACAGCAGCTCCACTTCAACTAATCAGTACATTTTGGTAGGTGTGTGAGTAAATTGAATTAGACAGGGTGACGTACACAGACATCACACTGCTGTAATTACTATCAATGCTTATTATTATTATTATCCGTTTTCACAATTACTCTATGTTTATGAAAATCTGAAGTTACATATTCAATAGTGTTATATTGTACACAATATACACAAAGTACATAAGATAAGAAAAAGATAGCCAAGGATTTTTAAAAGCACAAGTATTGAACTTACTGGTTATCTACGTATGGTATGCGCAATGCCTACCATTACATGTCCATAGTATTTATAGAGAGTAAAGTTAATTGAGGTTATGTGGAGATTTCAAAGGGAAATCTACTGTTCAAATAGTGTTAATTTATACGAATAAGATTGAAAGTATCCACTATTAATGAAGTCATGGGTCAGCTTGCTTCACATCTGAAACCCGGATACATACTGCACTCTTATTAAATATGGTCCAAGAAAAGATTTTTTATAACCTTTTTATTCTAGGTTTCTGTGTCAAGTTAAAGGAAAAACTTGCAAATTGGATTGAAAGATTGACAGCATTAAAAGTTAAATAATGAGTCACAATGTCAGCACTCCAGAATTTTTGTGGTGGAAGAATAGGGCATTTTAATTCTGACTGCTATGGTAATATATAATGACACATGTAAAGTAAATTGAACATTTTGAATACTTGTAAAAGAGAATTACAAGATAAAAATGAGACATCCTGACATTGTTAGAGGAATATTCAATTCTTTAGCTTATGGGTCTTTATTAAACTTGTCTTTTGCAGGCTGAGGTGTGCGCCGGAACAGTGGCTGAAGTCATCCAGTCTGTAGTGAATGGAGCCGACGGATGTGTGTTCTGCTTTGGTCATTCAAAGCTTGGTTAGTGTTGATGAAATGTTATCTTAACAGCATAATTAAAATATGATCCATTACAGATAAGCAATCATCAATGGCAACCATTGGCTATTTTTTCTTTAGTGCAAGTTGAACTAGCAAGGACACATGTCTCATCCTTTGAAGTAAATTTGTTAGTGGACTGCTGTAAGAGGCACAGACTCAGACATGCCTGTCTTATATGCAATTAATGTTCCTGTATTCCCATTCATGACTACGTTTGTGACAGGCATGGCTACGTTTGACTGCTATTCTCACAAGTTTTGAGTTTAACAGATTATGTGGATTGGAGCGACATTTACCATATTTATTCCCAGATAATTTTTGTACAAGTCATTCTGAATTGAGAAAGCTGGTTGGATGACTAGTGAAACGTCTTCAAGAAAGATACAGCAAGTCCAGTTGGAAAGATTAGTGCCTGCACTGCTGGGATGTCTTACTGCAATTGTCCAATTATGTTTACTTCATTTGAAATACCTAAATCCAAAATGCAATTATAATCACCGTATTACTGCTCAAGCATCATGGTTGATGTGTTCATAGAGCTCTTATAATAACACATTGAGCTATAATTGATTGAAAAATCCTTGGATATTGTGCCACTGGGATGTGTATATCGTATATTCTGGTTGTGGTGCATGACAAATATCTTGTTTAAATACTGCTTATTTGGTATGTAACATTTTATTCATTTATATTCGTTTGTGTTTTAATCCTTGATTTAAAAAAATTGTTTAAAAAACATTAATGTTCTTTTTATTTTCATATACAAGCAGATAGAAAGTATCTGCTTGCATATAAAAAGCAGATATTATCTATCATAGTATTTAAAAAAAAAAAGGTGCCAGTTAAGGAAATTGAGTAACATTACTTATAATTTGTTTTACAAATATTTAGTTACCATAGAGTCCCAATATATTGCTCAGTTCTTTAGAGAGAATACTAAACTTCACATTCACTTCTGTGCTTGACCTGTAGGGAGCTTACAATCGTATGTCCCAGCCACAGTCAGACAGCCACGTACACTAGGGCCAATTTGTGTGTAAGCTAAATAACATTTAAGTATGTTTTTGTATTGTGAAATGAAACTGGGGTACTTAGAGAAAAATGCAGCAAACGTCCGCTCTACATGTCAAGACTGCCAACCGCTTAAAAGAGAACTATGGGGTAAGTGTTTTTCCCCATAGTTTTCTTAAGGGTCACGGAAGGACATATACTAACGTCCTCCCGTGACCCAAAGCTCAGTATATCTCGAGCTACAGCTCGCGGTATACTGAAACCGCCGCAGCCGGGACGGATCCCCACATTACTGTCGAAATCCACCCAGCTGCGTGAGTGACCTCTAGCTCCATCCATTCTGGCAGTCAGTGCTGGAGGATCGGAGCGGGGAGGGGGGAATCCCTACAGGGAGCCGTGAGTAACAGTCACTTCTCTCTGCAGGGAGATGATCGGGAAGTGAGCGAGCAACGGTATGTGTTTGCTCACTTCCCGATCTATTGAGCCGACGTGTGACAGTTTCATTGTCACACGTCGGCTCAAACTATGACGTTGAGTGATTTTCACTCACCTCATAGTTTTCCTTTAACTACCTTGATGCTTGGTGCACTCATCTATGATATTGCTTATGCGTCTAAATTAAAGCATCTGCATGATCTGTTCAAAGCAATTTTAGTAGAATTTCAATTTCCCAAGAACAAGTTAGTTTGAACATTTTATGAAAGATATGACAGCCATAACCTTTGACTTTTGTTTGATTTGCTTGACAGGCTGACAGGCTTATCCTTTGGCTTTACTACATAGGCCCTTAATAGTTGCAGCCAAAAAACCCAGAAGTCTTAACCTACATATAGGGGTCTATTCACTAAGCTGCCGTAGGCAGCCGAGTGAATGACTGACCTAAAGCGAAGTGAGCCGAACGCTGTTCGGCTATTCACTTCAGGCTGGTACAGCTGATTTCAGCCATATATCGGCTGAAATCAGCCATACATCGGGTGGCTTTGGGTCGGCCGAACATGCTCAGCATTCGGCTCGGCTGTTCTGCTCAGTCCCTCTGTGGGACCGAGCAGAACAGAAAAATAGTTTCAAAAGTGGAAAAAAATAAATAGAAAACGATTGCGCGGAGCTAGCAGTGACAGCTAGCTCCATATGTTTGGGGTCAGTGAGTCCCTACATAATGAATCCATAGGATGAACATTAAAGCTTTGTATGAAACCTTGCAGTCTTTGGGCACTTTTGAGTTTAAAAAAGTTTTAGATCATTTTAGTTTTCACTGGCAAGGTAATCCGATGCTCTCATACTCATATTATTTTCTGTTTGTACATGGTTCTTTCAAGGGAAGTCGTATACTATGATTGGCAAAGATGACTCCATGCAGAATCTTGGCATCATCCCTTGTGCTATTTCCTGGCTCTTTAAGCTGATTAATGAACGAAAGGAAAAGACTGGAGCTCGGTTCTCGGTCAGAGTATCAGCTGTGGAAGTGTGGGGGAAGGAAGAGAACCTGAGAGACCTGCTGTCAGAAGTGGCTACAGGAAGTCTGCAAGATGGTCAGTCACCAGGGGTCTATCTGTGTGAGGACCCTATATGTGGAATGCAGGTATGCAGTAGCTTTTCTTGATAACATAAGCATGCGTACCAGATTTCCAAACCGTGGAGAAGGCAAAGTGAAAAAAAAAATGCAATAAATGTACTGGAAATAAATAAAAATATTCCCAACAATGTCATTGGATTTGTGTTGACATTGCATTTACTGTGCAAACATCAAATGCTCACGTAAGTAAGACGTGTGAAAAAGTTGCTGCTAATTTGTGGCCTCATCAACTTGACTTAAACTCAGTATTACGCTAACAATTTACATAAACTATTTTTGTCTCCTGCATGTGTAGCAATGTAGCGTCAAATAGGCAAAAAAGCTCTCCTAGTAACATGCATACATTCACTTTGAGCTTTACCACACTGCTATGTTACATAAATGTTGCACTATTGTGATACAATTTTAATCAGCAGACTTTGTTGATTATGATAAATATATGGGAACAAATTATGTAAACATATGAAAAGTATACTTTTTTTCTAGCTATTTATTATTATTTCCTTATAAAACCCAAGGAAATAAAAATAATTGTATCCAGATTTGCTACCAAATTAAAACCCTTTCCGTCCCGAAAAAAAAAAAGAGGTATAGTGAGTTAGGCCAGGCTATAAACTCTAAAAGGTATCATGCGGAACCGAGACACTGCCAGAATGGGGGAAAATTGTTCTGTGACGCAAGTGAATTTAGAATGGAAAAAGGCCAGGGCACTCAAGAGGTTAAAAAATGGGTGACAACTTAAAATAGGCTTATAGGCTTCTTCGCACTTTGTTCCTCATGCCGCACAAAGCAAGATTGTTGCCCTGTTCTCTCCCCTGCCCTGGCTCCTTTCCTTCTATCACAGCACTACTCTCTGTCTCCCCTCCTTCCTTCAATGATAAACCATGTTTGCTGTAGTAGCCCTTCTTAGTACATGGTGGGGCATGGCTACAGTGACTTCAATGCACTGCCACGCCCCCTCCCGCCCCTGAATGCAGGTTTTTTTTTCATTGGTAGATCTCATTAAGTTCGTCATTTGAAGAGTAGATCTCCAGACAAAAAATTGTGGGCACCCCTGCTCTAGAGGAATCAAATATTTCAATGAATTGTTATTTGTATCCATGGTGTTTAGTGATGGTTTGATTTAATGGTTCATTGTAGTGCACATGAGTGTTCATTGGGTCCACATCATTAATTCCTGTGAATTACTGTATATATATACAGGGGCTCATTGTTGTTTTTATTTATGTATTATTTATGTATTAAATTGCATCTAAACCCTAAAATGTAATATATTAGATATGGTGTATTATTTAGATATGGTGGCTGAACAGCTTCTTTTTTGAGGCTCTTACCCCTTTATTTTCACTTGGTGATCTTGCCAGAAGCACACTTTCTAACATCTGGTGACAACACTCACTCATTCCTCTGTATCTATTGAAGAGCAGTGTTGTCATCCTAGCCTTCTGGCTTCCATTATAGACTATAAAACACTACCATTAATCAATTCCACCACATAGGGGGGAGATGATCTGTAGTCCACGCAAGATAGCTCAAAAGGCTGGTTTGGGATATCAGTTCAGTACACAGCAAATTAAAATGATACTGGAAATCTGGCAAGTTATGTTTCTTTACTTGCAGAAAATGTTAGCCTAAAAAAGAACAAACGAATGCAGTCAATGCATGTAAGGACTGGTGAGATGCAATATATTACAGTTTTGTTCTTGGGTTTAGACCAACTATAAGGGTGTTGATAAACATACACATCAATCATTCAATATTGTGATCTTAACTTACAAATTGAATGACTGAGTGAGAGATGGTCCCTGTGTGTGTTGTAAAATAGCCACCAATCCAAGATCACTCCTGTGATGGACTACAATCCCAATACAAATTAGTAAACTAAATGTGAGATTGTAGTCCATCACAGGAGTGATCTTGGATTGGTGGCTATTTTACAATGCACACAGGGACCATGGGGAACAAAAGTAGCCACCTTCCAGAAGAGTTGGACGGAAGGACAGCGTCAGCTTGAATTCCGAGATGTTTTGAGGATCTGCAGCGGAGAGATTTAAATCCTCAGTGTAGTGTCACTTAGAAGTGACATTAAATGATACACAAATGAATTCAATTTTAGTTTTTAGGGTATTTGAATGCATTTTTAAGATGTAACTTCTGAGTTTAGTATCACTTTTAGTGTTGAAACTGTCAGAACAAATCGACATTTGGGCGTAACGGCAAGTAGTTTGGGTGCCTTTCCCTTATACCTGACTGCAGTTTATCTGTGATGCTTCAAGAAATTGTCATAATTAGAAGGTAGTATTCTTGAAGATCATACATATCATAATATAAACTATATAGAGCAGTAAATCTATGTGTTATTTAGATTTCTGTATGCCACAGAATGAACAGTATCGGCTTTATTTTGTTGTATTGTTGCACCAAAATAATAATGTTGTTGTCTTCAAGTAAGTAATTAGAGCTGTAAAAGTATACTGGCACATTATGAATCTTCCCATTAAAAAGCCCAAAAAAGTGGCAAGTATAGTTTATCACCGAAAGGGGTTGTCTAATGCAGCAGATTGTAAAATATAGCATAGTTCATTTTGTTTTGAGTTTCTCTGTTACATTATCAATTACTCGAGGTTTCGTATCCACTGTGACTGATTCATTTATTTTAACCTTTGAATACACAGATGGAATGATATTTTAAATGTATTATAGATTACCTGTCATGTAAATTAATTATATATTTTAATATCTTTAATAATAAGCAAAATTTTGAAAAATTTCCTTTTGTCAAATGGAGGGGTGGCAATAAGGCCACACACTTGTCAACTTTTGGCCAGCTTTTGAATCATGCACTTCATCCTACGGCGACTTATGGGCAAACCATCCTTGTTTAAATTTGAAAAGGATGTTACAGAAAAAAATGCTAATCGCAATTAACAAAATAGACATAATGCTGGCCACTAACAGAGGAGGCCGTTGTGTAGGTGGAAGTTTTTCGTAGAATGCTTGCAACTGCTTTTTATTATACCCAATGTCAACCAGAGAGGTTGAAGATTTGTGAGTTGCACGGCACGGCATTATTATGATAAAGGATGGTGTGGCTTAGGTTCATGTGGCCATTGAATGCTAAAGGCTCATTACTGCATAAAGTGTAGTAGTGTAAATAGCAATACCAAAGTCTATAAATGAGATGCAGAGGCATGATAGTTCAGCCCAGATTTGAGTAACCAATCCCTATACTTAAAGTATATCTAAACCCAAAAATGTAATATATTGGAGCTCTCCAGTGCTTAGATGTGGTGCATTTGTTTTTTTTAAACTTTTTTTTAACTTGGTAATCCTGCAAATAACACACTTCACTTCCCTGTGTGGCTACACTCACTCACCCATCTGTATCTATGGACTGATCCATTGCTGCCACCTAGGCTGGACTTTAAATATGTCTGCCTTTGGTAATCTCTATTACATTGCAGATGGGGAGATTAGTAGTTTACAGAAGAAAGATAACATTAACAGGGTTATTCACAAAAGTGTGAAGAGTTTGGAGAAGGCAGAAGAAGGGAACAATCTAGGACAACATAGCTGAACTGGAAAGTGAGCGGAATTTGATAATTTTTCCAAATCAGCTATTTTCTTCCTAGATTGTTCCCTTCTGCCTTCTCTGAACCCTTTTGGGAATAACCCTGTAACTATAGCTCACAGAAGGTGAGAAGGGCACTGCATTTTGACAAGATCACCATGTATTTTCTGTACTTGCTAAAAATGTTTGCTTAGCCTAACAAAAGAAAACAAATGCAGCCACCATTTTTAAGGACTGGAAAGCTGCAATATGTTAATATTTTGTACTTGGATTTAGTTATCCTTTAATGAAAACATGATCAGTTCATTAGAATAATAATTTAGTAATGCAGGTATGTAGGATAATTCCTCAGAGAATCCTCAGAACACCAAAGTAAAATAATGCCACTGACAACGTAAGCTAAACATAGGGATAAAGAGGAAAAATGTGATTCGGAAAAAAAAGTCAAAAGGGAGAGCAAAAATGGGGAACTGATAAGAGAAAAAGTAATGTAAAAATGTAATGTTGTTTAAATTTTCAGCTGCAGAACCAGAGTGAGTTAAGGGCCCCCACGGCTGAGAAAGCTGCATTTTTCCTGGATGCAGCCATTGCCTCACGGAAAAGTAGTCAAAGGGACTGTGATGAAGATGACCACAGAAATTCTCACATGCTATTTACTTTGCACATTTATCAGTATCGGATGGAAAAGAGTGGAAAAGGAGGAAGTAAGTAAAAGTTTTTTTTACTTAAAAGTTCTCATTACTGTTTTCTAAGAATTACTTTTGCCTGATATCTATCTGATAATGTTTGGCATTGTTGTCATGACCCTGTGTATCTTTTGTTTTACGTTTTTCATAAGAATTATTGGCATACAGTATGTCTCAGTCAAAGTAGTCAGTCTACACCCTTGCTAATTGGCAACTGGTAGAATATCCACTGGAAAAAAGGCCAAATGTGTAGTATATTACTGTATATTCCCAACTTTTATATAGTCTGCCACAGCATTCAAATGCGACTCAATTGTCTATGTTGAGAGTCATCTACAACGTTAGTTCTGAGGCAGGCACAGTAATAAGCATAGAAACATATACTTGCATAGAAAGATAGAAGAGTCACGAAAGAAAAAGACTAAGTGGTCCATTGAGTCTGCCCAGATATCCATCTGATAATATGTTGTTAAAATTGCCTTTGCTTAAACCTTCCAAATTCTGGTTATTACTTGTCACTTCTGAGGTTGTTCCATTCTTAATATTTACTGATGTTACATCTTGTTGATCTGTTTCAGTCCATACCTATGTTGTATATCTGGCACAAATATGTGTGATGAGTAATCCAATAAACATATGCAATGACCTTTATTTAAATTTTTGTATTTTGCTTCACTTTATGCACTAATGAGTGTTTTTAGCATTCAATGATCACATCGATCTAATCCACTCTCTCCTTTACCATAATAATGCTGTGTGCATTAAGTCTATTTTATTTACGGTCAGCATTTTTTCAGCAACATTTTCATTTCAATATTGTTTTCATGATCTTTTTTTTCACTTAATAAAATATGTTTATTTGATTACTCATCACACATAATTTGTCCAGATATGCACCATGGATTGAACCAAATCAACAAGATAGAACATCAGTAAATATTAGGAATGGAACTAAATCAGAAGTGACAATAATAACCAAATACTGGGAGGTTTCAGCAAAGGCAATTTCATTTACACGTTCAGGTATAGTTTGACGTTGGAGAGATTTATTTTCCACTTGATTAATGACAAGAATGTATTGCAAGAAAGCACAGGAATTGGTCATTCCAGGCAATTTTAGTCTTAATAGTCATGTGTTATAGACTGGTTGTTGCAGGAAAGCAGAGTCTTTTTTTAAGTGACAGAAGTCATACATTGGCATAAAAAAGAGTCTTACTGAAAACTACAAGAATACAATTTATAAAACATATAGTAGTGATGGTATTGCTTATCAGCAGATTTTGTATTGGTGACAATGATTGGATTTAACTTTTCTTTCCTTACCAATGAGAATAAATCTTTATTTAATTATTTGTTACACATATTGTTTTGTTGATTTGCCTTTGCATTGTAAAGATCAGATATAAAGCTCAACAACAGCATAAGTGGATTTAGTTGATTTTGGATTCTCTATTAAACTACCGAAGTGTCTTGTGGTAGACCCAAGCCAAATTATGTTAATTATGTGAAGCTTATTTAATAGCTTAGTCCCAAGAGTAGTGAATATGGAGTGCTAAGTGTAATGATGTGTTGTAACCAATAATAGCCAACCAGATATCTCATTGAGAAGTATTAGGTTTTTTGTGTAATGTAATGACTACTCCACCTTTTTGTACCATATAATTAAATAATAAAATATAGAAAATGAACTGCGCCAATAAGCAAGCTAACAGCTACAAGGCACTGGAATGTACACCCACTGTGAGTGTGTATAGGTGAAAAATGAATAACTAAATGTGCCGAGCTACAACAATGATCAGATATAAAGAGTAAAAAAAAAATAAAAAAAAAGTGACTCAAACAAATGTCAGTGAAAAAAATCAATCAGGTGTAAAGTCTTTAAATCTTCATAAATCCGCGAAAGATGTCCAAATATAGCAATAGTGATGAATATTACTTGTTCCTTCACCAAATGCACCACGTGCACCACACCAGATATAGGGGTGCTCACCTTATTGATAGACCCCAGCAAGAGGTCAAACCAGGCAATTCCCTTCTTAACCAGGGGAGGGGGCCCTCAGCTCCAATCGCTCACAGATGTCCTCCAATGGTTTAATCAGACCAGCAAACAGATCTGTGCAACACTTCTTAAATAGGAAAGCAATAGCCTCCAATCTTTATATGACACCTTATACTGAGGAGGCCTATAGATCAATAAAGATTGGAGGCTATTGCTTTCCTATTTAAGAAGTGGTGCACAGATCTGTTTGCTGGTCTGATTAAACCATTGGAGGACATCTGTGAGCGATTGGAGCTGAGGGCCCCCTCCCCTGGTTAAGAAGGGAATTGCCTGGTTTGACCTCTTGCTGGGGTCTATCAATAAGGTGAGCACCCCTATATCTGGTGTGGTGCACGTGGTGCATTTGGTGAAGGAACAAGTAATATTCATCACTATTGCTATATTTGGACATCTTTCGCGGATTTATGAAGATTTAAAGACTTTACACCTGATTGATTTTTTTCACTGACATTTGTTTGAGTCACTTTTTTTTATTTTTTTTACTCTTTATATCTGATCATTGTTGTAGCTCGGCACATTTAGTTATTCATATAATTAAATAACACTACATGGCAATGATTTACTAAAGGCAAATAGGCTGTTCACTTTGCAGGGGACTTTTTCCACAGCTTAGTGAGTTCAGTGAATCTCAGCTGACTTCCATCATCCATGTGCAAGCAAAAATTCATTTTGTTTTTGCTTGCACATAATTGGGTGTTCTTGCAAAGTGACTTCTTAACACATTCACTAAACTAAGTGAAAACTCCCTTGCAAAGCAAACAGTCTAGTTGCCTTTAGTAAAACAAATGATTATCCGCGCTATAGTGCTCTACCCCAAAATCCTCAATAACACCCTATTGACAGCTGCAGAGATAGAGAGAAGCTATATAAACTTCTCCCACATTATATTAAACAAAAGACACTGCGCTATCTCTAATATTATAAAACTCTAAGTGCATATACTTAGTGACAATTATACAAAATGTTCACTCCAACTTATATATAGTCCATATAAAAATGTTCCCAAAAATGATATGATCAAAAATAAATGTGATGAAATCCTTGTGTTCACTTTCTTTGTATTACATCAGTGAGTCAAATAATTATTGCATATAAAGTTCCACAATCACTCGTGACTTCTGTGCTTCAATTCCTCGTCAATTGATCACCAGTGATCCACCTCCAGGTGCACAAACACTAGCACACTCACCAGATAATTCTGACCTCCCAGGTGGTCTTTAAATGCTCTGCAAACTTCCCTGGCTTCCCATGTCTCTCTCTCCACCGAATCCCCAACAGCTGAAAATGATGAGTCCGCCCGATGTCTCTCCCAAATCTCTCTAATCCGCTCAAAATGGAAAACCAAGATCGCACATAGTGTAAAACTGCTAGATGATAGTTTATTCATAAAAATCAGAACACTTACATTTGAAAAAAAAATTCAGTGCTGTAAAAACATAAAATCGGTTTGTATGAGCTCAGCTATGCCTCCTCCACTGCATACACTAGCGTCAGCGTGTAGCTCCTCCCCTACGCGTTTCGTCCAATGGACTTTCTCAAGGGTAGCATACACACTGACTCTATTTCCTTTTATATTTCCCAGATACCACATATACATACCCAGATACCACATTTACATAACCCGATGGGAGTTTCCTTTGATCCGTATATAGGATTCTACCATATTTCTACTACCTAATGTGTATCTTATAAAATCATTAACTAAAAACATCTTAGTATAAAGCATGTATAATATTAGATTCAAGATCTACAACCCCCTAGATGGTACTATAGGTCATTGAACCTATAGTACAAAGAAAGTGAACACAAGGATTTCATCACATTTATTTTTGATCATATCATTTTTGGGAACATTTGTATATGGACTATATATAAGTTGGAGTGAACATTTTGTATAATTGTCACTAAGTATATGCACTTAGAGTTTTATAATATTAGAGATAGTGCAGTGTCTTTTGTTTAATATAGTTGCCTTTAGTAAATCAACCTCTATGTTTCAGTCAGTGTAGACATAACTTCTAATTGTTTCTAAATTTTAGAATCTAATGAGACTGCAGTAAGCCACAGAAATCTTTATGGTGTTTTTAACCCCCAGGGTAAACTACTTTTGTAAAAAATCAACACTTCGTGGAAAGATGGTTTTATTTTTATAATTAATGTTGACATATGTATGGTGTAAATTTTGTACATTTTATTCTGTGACAATACTATATTTGTGATTACACATTATAAATTGACTAGTTAACAGTTTTCACATTTATTATGCTATCTTTGTCCTTAAGTTACAGTGTATGTAAAGCCAATCCCTAAAGCATAAAGTGTTAACATGTTCATGTCATTTGTAAGTAACTTTCAGTATTTTTATTCTGCATCCCTTAGTAAAATTATACCTGCTGATACTTACATAAAAGTTCTTGTTTTGACATTAGCTGCTAGATGCAAATGGGCTATTCACTTTGCAAGGGAATTTGCACTTTGCAGGGGAAGATTCCCCTTAGTTTAGTGAATAAGGTGAATTTATGCTGACTCCTATCACCCAATCATGTGCAAGCAAAATAGTTTTTTTATAATGTAATTTGCAGGAAAAATCCTTTTTTTTACATTTTGTTTACATATGATTGTGTATTCTTTGCAAAATGAGATTTCACCATATTAAAGAAGCTAAGGGAAACTTCCCCGGTAAAGTGTAAATTCCCTTGCAAAGTGAACAGCCTTGTAGCCTTTAGTAAATAAACACCTTTTTCTCTGTCTCCAAACTTTTCTCCTGGGTTGTCATCTGGACTTTTGATGGAAACTACAAGTGGCTACTTGGAAACCCACCCTAAAAAATGCTATGCAGATATCGCTGGAGTACAGTCATATTGAAAGGAAGTAGCTTCAAAGTGGCTGCAGGAAATCAGAACTTAGATGCAACATAGCATGACTAAAGTGGAAACAAGTGTTTTATTTTAAAAATTGTTTGTGATAAACAGTGCTTTAGCAAACTAAATATCATCTGTTAGATTTATCCACACTTACCAGCCTTAGTTAGTAACTTAAGTACATCTGATGTAATTTTACATTTTCTATACTACTAACATTACTCTTAAGCAGGCACTTATGCCCACTACTTCCTTTGCCTCTCTTTTGGTTATTCTTCATAGTTATGAACCAATAGTGAGGTGTCAGAGGTAAAAACTTGAGAAACTGAAATTGTGATTTGCGTAATAGGGTAAGTTATCCAAATATAACACATAAAAAATTTCACGGTGCCATATTTAGAATGAAAGGAACACAAACCACATGTAAATCACATATATCAATTCTTTTATCATTTATATATGTATTAAAAACTTTGAATAATAGACAACACATCCACTGACATGTATGTCATCATCAACTTCATTGTATTATCTTCCACTTATTAACATCACAACATAGCTCCTCCCCAGACCACACATGCACAATGTAAATAACCGCTAAATAGGCTTTATTGTCATCAATTTACTCATCACAATCAACTGAACATATTTCCTAATAATCATGACAATATTCCTTGAGTCACATATAAATGTGCAGTGGGTCCAGCCTTCTACGCATTTCGCCAAAGCTTCTCCAGGAAGATAGGAGGCCTGTAGCGTTTGCATAACGAATCAGATGCAATTGATGGAGGTGCCCTCCGCACACCTTTCAGCAGTCCCGGCCAACAATCAAATAAATGGTGCTCGAAGTAACTTCACGGATGGCACCGTGCAAAACACAAGATTGAAGAAAATAGGTCACCAGCACTCCATAAGTTAAAATGAATGAGTCCTTTTAATGGACAATGATGTCACAGAAATCCAACATGAGCCGACGTTTCGGGGCCACACAGGGTCCCTTCTTCAAGGTCACATCTCTTGCCTTGAAGAAGGGACCCTGTGTGGCCCCGAAACGTCGGCTCATGTTGGATTTCTGTGACATCATTGTCCATTAAAAGGACTCATTCATTTTAACTCATGGAGTGCTGGTGACCTATTTTCTTCAATCTTGCATAACGAATCAGTCATTGTATATTAACATCTTAGCAATTAAACTATTAGGAAATTCCAATAGACTTACATAAGGCAATAAACATTATTACATCAATCCCATTTTTTTGGAAGTATGGTGGTGGATCAGTCCATGACCCATGGGAGCAACCCCCAACCCAGGCGACAGGGAGAGTGGAAAACTACGGCAAAGTGACCAGACAAAAGAAACTAGATAATCATCATATATATATATATGCACTATATTGCCAAAAGTATTGGGACGCCTGCCTTTACACACACATGAACTTTAATGGCATCCCAGTCTTAGTCTGTAGGGTTCAATATTGAGTTGGCCCACCCTTTGCAGCTATAACAGCTTCAACTCTTCTGGGAAGGCGTCCACAAGGTTTAGGAGTATATCTATAGGAATGTTTGACCATTTTTCCAGAAGCGCATTTGTGAGGTCAGGTATTGATGTTAAACGAGAAGGCCTGGCTCGCAGTCTCCGCTCTAATTCATCCCAAAGGTGTTCTATCGGGTTCAGATCAGGTCTCTGTGCAGGCCAGTCAAGTTCCTCCACCCCAAACTCACTCATCCATGTCTTTATGGACCTTACTTTGTGCACTGGTGTGCAGTCATGTTGGAACAGGAAGGGACCATCCCCAAACTTCACACAAAATTGGGAGCATGAAATTGTCCAAAATGTCTTGGTATGCTGACGCCTTAAGAGTTCCCTTCACTGGAACTAAGGGACCAAGCCCAACCCCTGAAAAACAACCCCACACCATAATCCCCCCTCCACCAAACTTTACACTTGGCACAATGCAGTCAGGCAAGTACCGTTCTCCTGGTAACCGCCAAACCCAGACACGTCCATCGGATTGACAGACAGAGAAGGGTGATTCGTCACTCCAGAGAACACGCCTCCACTTCTCTAGTGTCCAGTGGCGGCGTGCTTTACACCACTGCATCCGATGCTTTGCATTGCACTTGGTGATGTAAGGCTTGGCTGCAGCTGCTCAGCTGTGGAAACCCATTCCATTAAGTTTTCCAAGCACTGTTGTTGTGTCAATCTGAAGGCCACATAAAGTTTGGAGGTCTGTAGACTGCAGACAGTTGGCGACTTTTGCGTACTGTGCACTTCAGCATGCGCCGACCCCGTTCTGTAATTTTTCGTGGCTGAGTTGCTGTTGTTCCCAGTTGCTTCCACTTTGTTATAATACCACTAACAGTTGACTGGAATATTTAGTAGCAAGGAAATTTCACGGATGTACTTATTGCACAGGTAGCAACCTATCACGGTACCACCCTTGAATTCACTGAGCTCCTGAGAGCGATCCATTTTTTCACAAAGGCAGTCTGCATGCCTAGGTGCTTGATTTTATACACCTGTAGCCTTGGAGGTGATTGGAACACCCAAATCCAATGATTTGGAGGGGTGTCCCAATACTTTTGGCAATATAATGTATATATACTTTTTATTACATCCCCCAAGCATCTAAAGCAATAATATCAGTCAGGTGTCCCCATTCAACCAACAACTGGCAATAAACACTCTTCAGGGCTTAAATAAACAATCCTCAGGGCTTTAAGTGATACTAAGGGCTTTTTATAAACCAACCTCAGGGCTTTAAATAAACAGACCTCAGGGCTTTAATACACTACAGTGTGATAAACCCAATAAAGTCTGAGGGTGAGGAGAACCCCTATCACTACAAACAGTAAAGCTCTTAATAAAAATGTCCTGCAGAGAACCAACGAGTTGACATAAGAAACCATTAAAGCAGATCAATAGATACAAGATAACCATATACATACTCAGCGAGTGTAGTTTTTTTCATGTGTTATTTTTGGATGGGATAATTTAGGGGTGTGGTGCCCTGTCTTCTTTGGTGGTTCATAATAATTTGTATATTGTAATAGGGTAAATTGCTTGCTTCAAAGTGTACATTTTATATAATTAAAATCATAACAGCTCTCCTTTGTTTTATTGAAATTATTTGATTTGGCATATGGTATCTAAAGAATAATACAATAAATACAATTCTCAGATATATCAAAACAAATGGCCAATCTACAGCTGTTGAAACCTAACCAATTTTCCATTCTCTCCGTAGTGTCAGGAGGCCGCAGTCGATTGCATCTTATTGATTTGGGAAGTTGCGTGAAAGTGCAGAGCAAGAATAGAGATGGAAACACAAGCTTGTGTCTCTCATTGTCAGCTCTGGGCAATGTCATTCTAGCACTGGTCAACGGCAGCAAGCACATACCTTACAAGTAAGCAAATTAAAAAGATTTTCCCTACATCTGTCTGAAAAATATTGATTGACCCTAATCTTATTTTACGTTTTGAAAATATATCTTTAGATCAAGAATGGTAATATTTTTATTTTTTATATGGAAAGATATAGAAACCATGCTTCATGAACTCATCTAAATGTATCTTGGCCTGGCGTAGTATTTGTTTTCTACATGTTTGGCAATTACCAATTTAAAAGCAGTCATTTTGGAGACATCTAGGTCATTAACTTCATAAATAAGATTATGGGGTCTATTCACAAAGCTGCCGAAGGATCTGGCCGTAGCTTCGGCCGATCCTTCGGCTGGCTTCGGCCCCAGGACCCCTTCGGTTCAGGAGAACCGACGGCAGCTTTTTGAATAGACCCCTATGTGTCTAAGCAGTGTGCACACAAACATAAAAATACAGGCAAATAGAATATGTACAGAATGTTATATGGTATGCATTTTAATGTTAAAGAGTGCATAGACATAGTTACATATTTTGCTCGAAAATATTTATAGTGAGTGTCCCACCAAGGACACAATCAACATTCCATTCTTTTCCTCATCGAGTATTCCATTCTTTTCCTCATCGGCTTCCTCCAGGTGCTCCTGTTTAGCCTCACAACACAAACTTATATTGGAATCTCCAAACAGACAGATTAGTACAACTTTCCCCCAAACTGTGTTAGCAGGGGCATTAAAGTGTAACTATGGACAGGTTATGGATAATTAAATATGTACTTATTCTTAACAAGCAGTAAATAAGCTTTAGAGCAAACCCTCACTGACCTCTAAAGCTGCAGGCACCGTGAACAATCACAGGAAAAGCTCTAAAGGTATTGCCTAAGCCACGCCACCTGTACCCCCTCCCATCAGCAGCCAAGCAGACTTCTAATCTCTAAGCTGAGTTCCCATGAGATGAGCTGAATTCAGTGCTTTTTCCATGTGTCTCCTATGAACTGTCTCCTGCTATGGAATGTCCATAGCCTTGTCACAGGCTCACTAAAACAGACTGCAAAGTGCATTGGCAGCTTAAAAAGGCTCTTTTTTGACTTAGTTGCTAGGATGTTGATGACTCCAATAGAGTTCATTCACCCTGTACAAATGTGAATGTTAGAACAGATCTTTAAAAATAAATACTGTACAGTATGCATGAACCCTAAAGGACCTTCTGTAGATTTACCAAACCTGTTTAGATCAAGAGCACTATAAAAAAAAGTCAGTGAAATAAAAAATAATCAAGTTCAGTTTACAGGAGACTCTGAGAGAAATATGGAGACTAACTTGACCGTTCCTATTCTGCATATATTAGTTGCTGGTTTGTCTTGCTGATCCTTGCTTCAAGTATGCAAAATATTCTGACTCCTGATATGCATGCTTGTTCAGGGTCAGTTGCTTAGAAAGTATTGAATCCAAAGGTTCAGCATAACAGCCAAGCAACTAACAGTTTAGAAGGTCAACAGTAAAAGACCCAAATCTTACATAATTTGGCCCCGTGGACAAACACTGTATACTTGCTAGTATGACTTGTATAGCAGAATATATGTATACAGCCTATTTAAAGAAGAGTAAAGCATGGGTCTCAAACTCAATTTACTTGGGGGCCACTGGACACATTTTCTTCTCCCATGGGGGCCATTTGCCAAATTTCATACTTCGAAATTGCGTTTACTTCAAAATGTGCATTTTCTGCAGCAGGAATCCCTAATCTGGCAAGTACAAGCGGCACCTGTCACCCATTGAAGTTAATGATCAGGTAACAGCCGCTGTCCTGTAAACGCCCGAACACCGCATGTAATGGTATTTGATATGATTACAAGCAGTTAGAAAACAGTCACTCTCCCTGGACGCATTGATCAAGCATCCAGGGAGAATGATTGATTCCTAACCACATGTATATCACATACCATTACATGCGGTGTGGCAGCGGATTCCTTCTGCAGGAAAACGCTAATTCATGACACAGAAATTGCTAATTACACCTAAACTTAGTCATGAATGGGGCCTAATACACACACACACACACACACACACACACACACAGAAATACACCCCCTCCCCTTCCCCAATAACAGTACATTGTTTAAAATAAGGATCCTTCTCCTGGTGTATTAGCTTTGTGAATTGAGCCTCTTTTTCAAAAGGCACAAATGAGTACAGATATTCCTCACTTACCAACTTACCTGTTTTGCGACCACTCGCACTTACGACCAGCTCTCCGACCATGCGTGCGGGAACGTGGCAGCGGCAGTGCGACTTCTCACCGTCTTCAGTGCTGTACTCCATTCTCCGCTGCTAGTCTCAGAAAGTACTTTATTGACTGCTTTACAGTACACTGTACAGTACTGTATATCTCCAACACTATACAGTACTGTACTAATGCAGTTCCTCGCTTAACGACCAATTCGTTTAACGACCTGGTCGTAGGAACGCAACTCGGTCGTTAAGTGAGGAATAGCTGTAGTTGGAATTTATCTTCTATTATTCATATGTTTTATCACAATAATATATCAGCTTGTTCAACTTGTTTCATTGGGCTCAATTCACAATCTAATGCCCCAGGATAAGGATCTTTATTTTTTTTTAAAAGGTTATTTTTAGCAGAGTCCAGTGAGATTTGAACATTACACTCATATGTCTAAAATAGAAATTATTTTCCTTATGTTATAGATTTGTAATTAACAACCATTTTACCAGAGTATTTGTCAAACTATATAGAATCTGCAAATGTTGTCATACCAAACAGGCAACCAACTAATCCAATAAGCAGTGATAGTATCACAATACAGGAACCTCTGGCTCATCCTTAGCAGAGATCTCGATGCCAGAGCACCATCCAGAAGACAATGAGGAAGAATGCTGAAATTGATTAACAACTATGAATATTGTGTTTTGCACGTTATGATTGCTATTTGCATTACTTATTAAATAACATCTTGAATGTGCAGGTACAAATAGAGGTTATTCTGTCTTAAAGAAGCTTGTTTTAGTCAATCCCGCCTACAGCGGCAGTGCGACTTCTCACCGTCTTCAGTGCTGTACTCCATTCTCCGCTGCTAGTCTCAGAAAGTACTTTATTGACTGCTTTACAGTACACTGTACAGTACTGTATATCTCCAACACTATACAGTACTGTACTAATGCAGTTCCTCGCTTAACGACCAATTCGTTTAACGACCTGGTCGTAGGAACGCAACTCGGTCGTTAAGTGAGGAATAGCTGTAGTTGGAATTTATCTTCTATTATTCATATGTTTTATCACAATAATATATCAGCTTGTTCAACTTGTTTCATTGGGCTCAATTCACAATCTAATGCCCCAGGATAAGGATCTTTATTTTTTTTTAAAAGGTTATTTTTAGCAGAGTCCAGTGAGATTTGAACATTACACTCATATGTCTAAAATAGAAATTATTTTCCTTATGTTATAGATTTGTAATTAACAACCATTTTACCAGAGTATTTGTCAAACTATATAGAATCTGCAAATGTTGTCATACCAAACAGGCAACCAACTAATCCAATAAGCAGTGATAGTATCACAATACAGGAACCTCTGGCTCATCCTTAGCAGAGATCTCGATGCCAGAGCACCATCCAGAAGACAATGAGGAAGAATGCTGAAATTGATTAACAACTATGAATATTGTGTTTTGCACGTTATGATTGCTATTTGCATTACTTATTAAATAACATCTTGAATGTGCAGGTACAAATAGAGGTTATTCTGTCTTAAAGAAGCTTGTTTTAGTCAATCCCGCCT